ACCTAGGCGTCAAAAACCAAGTCAAGATACTAATGCTCAACTTATTGATCTACTCAATAAACATAGTAATCGTGAACTTACAGACTTAGAATTAGCGCTTCAGTGTGGCAAAGCAGTCAAAACTCAACTAGTAAAAAAATAAAGGAAAAGAACTTAATTTTTCGATTGTGTACATTACATGCATATGTGCTATAATTATGGATAATTCATTTTTTCTTATTGTTCTTTGTTCTATAAATTATTCTTTTCTATGTTATATAAAAATATGAACCACTATAATTGATTATATTAGGACCGAAATGAGAATCAAGTAATAGGGACCGAATTGATAAAGGACCCAAGTGAGAGACCATCGAATGGGACCGAAAAGGAAAAGGACCGATTCGGACCGAATAGGGGGTAAACCAATCACTCTCCAACACATCACGCCAATTACACATAACAATAGGTGAAAGTGATTCCAACACTCATTGTCCTGTGTCAATGTATAATCTATCGATTCGGATGATTAATTTACATACATTTTCACTTGTGCAAACATTTTTTTCAATGTTAACAATTGAATGGACAGTTTTTGAAATACTGACATCTTCGAGTGTTATGCCTGTTCTTTGACGTGCTAATGTATCTCTGTTTATTAATATTAATGATATAAATCGTATCGGTTCGTCAGGAATCTTTACTGATCATCGCCATGTTGATGTTCATTTCGCATTTCATCTTCTTAATTGTCCTCAATATATCAAAGTGACACCATATATATATATACCACGTGGAAATCGTTTTCATTCACGAGAAATTGTTGGTGCAACATTCGTTGTTAATCACTGGTCCGACAGATAAGAATGGCTCATTGATAGCGATCCTTTTGTAAGTTATTGTTCGATTATATTTTTGACCGCATTTTATATCAAGATACGATATGAAGGAAAAGAAAACATTTGCTATTTATAGAGCCGTGGACGTCAATATTATCATCATATGTGGTATACTCTTCCTTGGCCATTTGATGAGTTCTTCCACGAATATGTTCCATACAAATGGATTACTAAGGTACAAGTGTTTGAAATACCTTCTAAAAAAATGGCGACAATGGATCAATCATCTCTTCGTTCACTAGATGCATCAGGACAAACGCTGTCATCATCTACATGTACTTTACCTTATGTGGCATTCTCTGATTGTATTGAAACGTACCACTTATCCTTTTATAATGAACCTATTCGTATATACTTCTCGGTCTTCGCAACATAACTCTGGTTAATAGTACTAATTGTCTGAACAATTCTTCTTCATTTCCACCAACTATGCGTTCTATTCGTATTATTCTTTTTTATGCTTATCCTAACTATATGATACCAAATTGGCCGGTGGTTTTAGATTCACTTACAAAATTGCGACAATAGAGTTCCTTACGTGTATTCATGTATGACTTACCGAAAGCTGTGAAATAATTGCAAAGGGAACATCATTGTTTAGGGATTTCGGTTTTTGCTTTCGACGAAAATTCGACTCATCAGATGATAAAATTGAAACTGCATTTGAAGATCATACAAAATTTATTCAACAGTTATGTCATCGTATACTTCAGTTGTCTTTTGACAAACCACCTTATTATTCAATTGAAGATGATGCCTGTGGACTCGCAATGTGGTTTTCATTTATATATGTTACAGTTGACATGAGAATTTAGTTGAGATTGGAATAATAGATTTAATTAAAGAGAGCGAAGAAAAGAATTTCGAAAATCAAAATGCAAATAAAATTATATGAACGATATGGAAATTTTTTTCTATGAGTTAGATTTAGCAAACTATTTTCTAATTGATTATAATTTAGATTTCTTTTTTAAATTGGTGACTAAAACAAAAAAAATTATTTCTTATTTTTCATTTATCTCAGCGCGCTCTCATTTCGCTTGTATGAGTCATACGGTAATTAATGTATCTTGCTGAACTGATACTTTAATATTAAAAGAAAATAAAATACTTCGTTGATTATGACAATAATGTTACATCATCAAATAAATACTTATTTATCCAAGTTTTACACTTTAAAAATTTAGTAGAATCTACTAATATCTAATTTTTTGTCATCATTTCTTTATTAATTTTGGTTTTTATAATTGATACTCGTCACTATGAAACAGACAATGATTAGACATAAATTAAGAAACTTCTTTATTAATTTCATTAAAAATTTGAAAACAACATTTACTTTCCTTCCATATCATTCGATATAAAAACTCGTTCCATTCCCATCCCACCTGCTCGAGACCCGTACTTCGAAATAACGATAGCGAAACTCTCTTTCTGTCTTTTCTTCGAATATACAAAGGAAAAAATCAATGCCCCTATGTCCCAATGTCTCGAGTATTAAAACAAACATCTTTTCAGAATCTTTGTCATTTCTCTCTCTTCGATCATGAAAGATAGACACGATTAATCTTGGAAGCAAAAACGTGTTTTTTGAATCTACATACTTAATCAAACTATCTCATATCACTCGCTAATAAAATTTTATTTCTATGAATCACTCTCTCATAACATTTATAGAATAATCAACAATTCCAATCTCAACTAGATTCTAAATTCTACTGCCACATCTATATTAGTTTGTAAAATTTTATCTTCAGAATAGAATTTTGCTTTCACATTAAAGTCTAATCATTGGTGCATACTTATTTGTCGAGTAAAGCACTACTCAATGGAAATCTGTTGTTCGACGTTAATCACGTTAGCTGTTTAAAACTGAAACTAATCATTCAAATTCAGCTATTGATATAATTACTCATTTTCATATTGATAAGTACTCTTGCAAGAGTCAAAAATTATATCTCTGTCGTTTTAAAGACTAGCATTAGTAGGCCAACGAGTATGAAAAGAAGCGAAAGAAAAAAACTATAACAGATGATTATGCATCGAGTTTCTCCCGTTGACATTTTTTATCGCGAAAATTAACTGAAAAAAACAGCTATTTTTTAGAAAATGAAAATTATCTAGAAACAACAGCCACTGTAACCGATCAATATGATTCAGACCATACAACGGTATCACCAACAAGAATTGAGATAATCTACTTTTACCGATTGAATGATATAAGAATATATTTCTTATATGTCCTGAGCGGATTTGTATTTTTTCTGATCAAACCTATGATTAGGCATTCGTGGATTTTTACCTACTCAAATGCCAGCATGAAACAGATATGGAGAACTAAAGGTCTATAATAACAAAATATACTTGGATTTACACCGTTATGTAATAGTTGACATCTAAGACTGGCTAGTGAACTGAATTATTAATAAAATAGACGTTCGTATTTATTTGATACTAATCATCGGTATCTATTTATATGCACCGATTATTCACCGAGTAACAAATAATTTTTATATTTCCTACAAATATACAAAACATTGAAATTCACATCATACATGAATAGCAATATAGAAAAAAGCAAGTCAATACGAATCAGTCAACCATAACAAGTGTTTAATTCGATCGTTAATTTTTGTTTCATAATCATAATTCATTTGTCGAAAGAGAAAACATTAATTCGAATTGGTAGTCGGATAAAAATCAAGATATACAATAATCAGGTAAATTAACATTTATTTTAATCTAACTAATAGAATTTAATACATTTTTTTCTACCGATTTTGAAAAATTTAAGTAAATAACTGGAGGAAAGGTCATTTGACGTGAATGGCCAGCTTTCCCGTTTTAACATTATTTTAAAACAAGGAAAATTCGAGACAATACATTTTTTAAGTATAAATAAGTCTATATCAGTACACTTTAACTTTAGGCTGTTTCTTGTTTTCAATGTATGAATGTGCACACATTAGAAATATTGTCATAGAGTGTATTTTTTTCATCCACTCCATTCATCCGTATAGTATAAAACGTAAGTAACTAAATCTAATTCTAATGGCGCATCTTAATATTCAGTTACTTAGAAAAAACAATTTCGTTTAAATTTGATGATGCAAGAGAAAATTTCTTTGAGGCCAAATCTGTCTCAATTAAGTTTATTCAAGGTAAACAAAATCAATTATAATACTTTGGATTTCTGGCGAGAATGTCTAAATATCATGTACTGTGCACATGGTAGACGCGATTACGAAAACATTCGGTATAGACTTTTCTATCTGTACTATTTTAAAAACGGGATACAATAACTTCTCAGTTCGATCGAAACAAAAAGACAGGACTGTGCGAAAAGTTTTTCTTCTTTTTTTTATCTCTAATTGAATACTTTCAGAAATATGTGTAAAAAAAAGTAGCGTTGTTTTGATTGAGTCAGAATGTTCATTTTATTACGATTAAAGTTTAGTAACTATTTCATTGAATTACATATAAAACAAAATTGATGATTAATACTACAGGATAATTATTTCCATTAATTTTTGGTTTCTGAAAATATATTTAAAGTAATATATGAAAGTGAAAACTAGTATTTTCTATGATTTAATTTCTTAGGAAGGCATCAATTTGATATGGGCAGGTTTCTTTTATGACTTAATGATTATTTATTTTATTTCAATATAGACTGAAATTGATACATGGATACTAAACTAGGATCGCTCAATTCTGATGAGGAACAAAATTCACTGAAAACTGAAAATCCAAATGAAATAGAAATATTAAAACTAGTGTAGGTATCTCTATTAGCAAAATTATTTTAACTTAAATCAAGCTAATTTCTGATATAATAAAGGTATTCTACGTTTGGAAAACAAAATATCATCGGCTGTTGCATGTTTAGCACATTTAGCATCATATCAATTATTGTTGGAGTGTTGGTAGTGTATTTTACATCCCCTGAATCAAGTATGTTTTACATTCATTCTTTTTAGATAAATTATAAGACTATGAAACATTATGGGTTGAAAGTATAGGACGTCGAAATAGGGATTCTATAGAGGGTGTATGCGTACATCTATAGCGAGATACAGATAAAAACAGTTAACATTCTAAGTCTAACTCAAATCCATTTTATCATATGTCTACGTTGATATTCACAGGCACATAACCAATTTTGCAGTTTTATCTGCACCTTTGGATCATACTTACACTGTCACTCTAATCTATTGGAAGCATATGGCGAGACTGAATTGTTGAGATTGATCGCTTGATAAGCAGTTGTTGTATTCTGAAAGTATATTACCAGAATTTGTCAGCCGCTTTTTTTCGCTTTAGACAATTTGTCTGAGTGCCTTATTAATTGCAAAGTACGATAAATAAAATTTCAAGAGAAAATAGCAATCATCTGACTGCAATAGAATATATCAGAAAGGGTACCATAGTATCTTCCATACTGATGACGACTACTGGGTTAGAACAACAATTATTTGATAGTTAATTTAAGACAAGTGCAATGGTTCTACGTCAATGAAAAATCAATATTACTCTACGGATCGTTAACAATAGATTTATCCGCATGCCATACTTGATCACGATAAATCATTGACGGAATTATTTTGTATTACTTTCACTAATTTGCAAGATTTTGAATCTACGATAGTGAATCATTAGCTAATAATCAATTTTATCATTTATCATTCATAAAATGTTACGAGTAATCGAACAACACACAGGAATAAGCCAGATCAGAGCATCTCAAACTATTATATCATCGGATCACTTGTGATTCCATAGAAATATCGCGAATTCTATTGGTGACTTGATTCGCCCAAGTCCACATACTTTAGGGAACAATAATCGTTCCTACCAGAAAAGACCAAACTTTTCACTATGTATTCAATCCTCCGTTGCAATAAAATGACAAGAACTGCTTTCAAACATGTATTAGTAAACGAATTCAAAAAGAGTACTATAAGTTTTAAAGTTTCTGTTAGAGTGTGTCCTTGCACATGATCTGATACTTTTTATTCTATATCCCTAACATCCAAATCCAGATACATATATATACGAAAAGGAAAAGCGAATCAGAAAACATATAGGTGAGAAAAGATAGAGGATATATATAAATGTGCCAGTGAGTGACATCTCACTGTAACACTCCCTTTCAAGAAAAAAATGTGTCCTATCAACATTTTACGTTTAACGTAGATAGAAAATGAAAGAAATATGAAGATCAGATCACTTAGATATAATAACAAAAAAAATGTAACAGCGATATAGAAAATATAACGAAGATTTCCTACGTGTCACATGTTCATATCTGAACAAAATAACAAAATCTGAACAAAGGGTTAACAAAAAAAAATAACAAATAACAAAATCTGATCAGAAAAAAAATAAACTAAACAAAAACATTAAAGATGATCATATATAAAAATAAAATCAAGATTTAATGTTGAGCATTTCGTAACAATTGTCGATTTGCTTTACGTTGTTCGTAATGTACTTTTGTAAATAGATGTTGAGTTTGTTGTTCATATGTCTTTAATAATTTTGCATTACGAACAGCGACAAATAATTTTCTTTTGTTTTCGTTTGTTGTTGTGGTGTTGACGATATAAAATGGGATTTTTTCTTCTTTTAATATCATTTTGATTTGTTTTATTGAAAAACGATAATCGATATTTTGAAAAATCAATTCGTTTTTGTAGTAGCGTCGACGTTGTTTGATAGTACATGATCGATTATGAATTTGTCGACGTTGATCATCAGATAATTTTTCACGAGGATTTTTTGATTCATTTTGATCATTAAAATTTGATATTGATTCTGATTGTACATTTGTATGATCAAGTAGATTACTATTATTTTCATTGGTTCGCATAGATTCCCAATCATGTGAGTATCCTTGTAATCCAACTAATGATGGAATTGATTCTGGTGGATGACTCATAGTTAATTCATTTTGAGTAGATAATGTAAAATTATTTTTCAGAGTTATGATAGATGGAGTAGATAAATTTTTTAAACAAATAATTTGATTGGAAATTTTTTCTTGAGATTTGGAAAATGTTGAAGTCGATTGTGGATATAATAAATCATCATCATCTTCATCTGAAGTAAATGGTAATAATTGAAATGATTTATTTTTAATAGGTTTCTTCGAATGAAATTTAAATTCGAATTTTGCATTTTTCATATTTATCAATATTCGTTGCATTGATAAACAATCGTTTAATGCATAATTTGTAAGTTGTTGTCGATATTGTCGTTCTTGAAAATCTAAATTAAATAAGTGTGGATCTAATCC